TAACCAGACAGCACATTCTGAGAATGCGCGTACAAGTCTTTTGCGCAAACATATCAAGCGAAATGCAGTTTTCTCTTAGAGTAAATATGTCACAAAATAATACATCAAACATATTCAAATATGAATAATAATATTACATCTATCTATACATACACCTGGTTATTTATGGAGTAGACAGAGGGTACCTTGTGTTATGAGAATGCTAAAAATAAGATCAGTTTACCTACCATGAAAGACAATTTGAAATTTCGAAGTTTGCGACACGAGCTTAATTTTAGTATCACGAATGAAATGCCATCTAAATAGTGTAATTTGGTCATTAGAATAACTCATACGATTTGTGACGAAACGAAATAATACAAATACTATCCATCTACAGGATAATCAGTAAGAATGTATTTAATCGTGTGTAAGAAACTTGACCGTCAACAGAAATAGCTCCTAATAATCGAAAGCAAAGACTTCGAAAAGATTTATTTATTAAATAGAAGCAGTTAAAGATTGACATAAATAATGCACCTTACCTTTTATTATTACCTTTTATACACTATATATCATATTTATTATACAGCTCTTACTTCATTTATAAAGACACGTTAAAGCATGTGAAACCAGAAACTGTCATTGACTACGTCTATTCTGCTTGTTGTGCAAATGTGTGTAAATGTGCAAATGCGGAAACAAAACAGCGACATAATAACCACTCTACATTTAAGTAAAAACAATTATTTAGATGATTTGTTTAAAATAGGTCAGGTATCAAAATCAGTGATGATCAGGACAAAAGAATAGAAAATTTTTGATAGGGAAGAAGCAAGGAGAAATGTAAATGCAAGCCGTTGGTCTTACACCTACGAGGTGAGCCATAAAAAAATTACTTTGGTAATTGGGTTTCCTTTATTCCTTTTTTTTTTCTTTTACTTAAATTCCTTCTTTGGAGTGAAGTAACCATTCCATTGATACCTAAGTTATTAGTGTAGTAGTTTCCTTATTAAAAAAGTTAGTGCGTACGTTGCATTAGATGATACAAATATTTTATTTACCTTTCAAATCTCTACTACATTGGCTTCACTTTACTCACCATGAATTACAATAACAGAAGCTGAACATGTATTTCATTATATAAAATACATAGTACTGGACATATATTTGCTCTAGAACTTTCACGTACCTAGTTACGGTTGATTTAACTTAATACCAGTGAAAATCAATTTAATCCGCTTAGAAACAAAATACTTCACGCTTAGTTCAGAGATAAAATTATAATAACGTTTAAATCTCAACTATTATAACACCTTCAAATAGCGTATCACGAACAAAACTGGTTGTTGAATGTATGATTATATCTTTTTGTATAATGATTATAAAGTTTAAATACATTAAAAACAAAATACATGATAAGCATTTTGTTAATGTATTTAAAATACAAAAATCTTCTTATAATGAAAAACATAGGCGTTAATTAATCCTATCAATACTTTGACTATTGCCAACGATAAAGTTACTAAAATTAAATTTTACTTTCTTCTTCTGCCTCATCTTTTCCTATTACTGTGGGTCCGCTTTCCTAATCATGTGGAGCTATGTAATCCTATTGCATGCATCCTCCTCCACAAGATTTAACCGTTTTATATCTGAAGTAATTAACTAAAGATACATTTTACCTGATATTGTAAAATTACTGATGTTATAACACCTACAAATAACACATCAGGAATGAAACTAGTTTTTGAGCACAAAATTACGGTATTACTTTAAAAAATTAATGTTATAAAAGACAATATAGACTTAAAAGTAAATTTATTATGTCAAATTACATTTATTAATTGGACAATAATAATTGTTTTTCAAATTTCCATAAAAGTAAGTTATAAAGATTTGATTTGGACGTAAGATAGCTAAATACGTAATGATACTAATGTTTATGCAAATAAATCATCGATTCAAGTCATTCGACGTTTCCTATCACTAACGCATAATTATCTCGTTGTACACACAAATACCTATATAAACGAACCAGGAAAATTAAGTTTGATTGAATCAACCTTACTGTCAATTTTCTAACAACCATTCAATCAGATTTCAATTACAGTGTATGAATAAGGTTTTATACGCCAATCGTTAATTATCTATAACAATGGCGATATTCACCGTATATACTCTCGACCTTGCAGACTCGATCACGACATTGCACACCTGCATCCGATTTACTAAGGATTCTCGATCCCTGCCGACCGACCATTCATTTCATCGACTTTTAAGGGGTTAGAACACTGTTCTAACCTCTTTTTTTAACTGAATTGTAATCTTCTTCATTGACTTCGATATTTCTGTTTGCGTTTTGATATTGAACTGCAAAATTTTTTATACATTTCTATATTTCCATATTTTTATTCGATATTTCCATAATTTCGTCCATTAAATATTTGAGATGTACCTCTAAAATGTAAGTAACTTTAGACTTAGTAATCAATGCGATTTCAAGTAATTCAATAATATTATTATAATAAATAGAGGTTAGTCGTGTGTAATTAGTCGTGTGGTCCCAGCATAGAATACGCCACCCATTCCTTTCCCGCGGGTGTCGTACGAGGCGACTAAGAGAATGTAATGATCGAGGAATGGGCTGCAGCGTCCATCTTAAAACATCACCAAAGCCTAATTACGTTTGCCAAGCCAGCTGCCAAACGTGGCAGTTACTGACAAACCCCACAAGTGAGAGGCCCATATTCACCAGTGGACAGTTAAATGCTGATATAAAAATAATATAAATAGAGGAACATTTAAAAATGCAGTGTCTTGTCGACAATGAAGTTACGCAAACAATTAGAACTATGAAAAAGCAATTATATTAACACTTTGCTGACCGGAAATTCTGTCATAGTTAAAATCTTTGGTATTAAACTAAAATTGTGATAAAAACCTAAATAAAAGTATTTTTTTGGTCATGAACGCTTTGTAATCCAAACGTGGTAGTAGGGCGTACTTACACACTAGTGCAATGACGAATTTACTCGTCACCGGTCAGCAAAGTGTTAATACAATTAATGCATTATATTCAAATTGTTAACGTAACATTTGTAATAGCAAATGGTAGTGGTTACTGTTAGGGGTTATCAAGCGAACCAATTTGAAATTCGTTTAGCAGGAAGGAAACGAAGTAAATTCCAATCTCTTGGATGAGATGAAACGAACATAAAAACCCTTTAAATCGCCATAACATCGAGTAGCATTTTAATTGCATAAAATGAAACAAAACAATCATAACACTCAGATTCTTTGGATTCTTTTGATAATACATACCTAAACATTAATATTGCTTTTGATTCATTTGATAATAGTTTTATTAGCTCCATCTAATCCCATATTAAATGAGTTTTATTATCAGAAATCATAAACTAAAATATCTACAATCAAAATATTCTTAAGGTGCTTTTGATAGAGGATTGATAACAGATAAATAGAATGGATACAAGTATATATTTAGAGATCATGCCAATATAATAGCAATGTAGGTATTAAAATGATGAAATTGAATTTGAAATTTGACATTGAACTATAGGTCAGATTATAAATAGATTGCACTACAGTGTATGTGAGGTCTATTATGTATTGCTACATATCAATTACCTGTAATAAACGGTTAATATATTCTGCATTTTTTAGCCATACATCTTGTAGGATTTTTTTTTAATCATCTTAAGGCTACTGTTATTTTTTTTATTTCATTATCTTTCGGATTTTATGATGGTTAGCAATTTGAAGATGAAGAAAATAAAAATTATTTTTACATCACAACATTAATTTTTAAGCAATTTCGAAAAGGAAGATGTTTGAGAACTAAGGTTCGATCGTATTTTTGTTTTTTACGCAACATCATTGCACATTTTCAACGGAATCTACGACTATTCTAATTGAAAAGTTTACTCCCGTGTTGATCACGTATTTGTCATGATTAGGTCACTTATTTTTGCGTAGAAAAAATTTTCAATATATTATACAATAAAATAATAATAATGTTTAAAATCATAAACATATAAACCTACGGTTAAATCGCTCAAAGTTTATATTATGAATAAAAAAACTAAAATAATAAACATTATTCAAACAAGCCTGAAAGCTGACACAAGTGAAGCGTTAAGACGAGGTCGACGTCCCCATTTTCAAAAGTTAATTTATCAAACAGTGCTAAAAAAAAAAAAGGCAAAGTTAAAAACTAAACGTTAATACATCATGGGACCTCGCCCCTAAAATCAGCTTATAATAACGAGTCGTGAAATTTGTAGTGAACTGATTTGAACTCTTAAAAATAAAAAAGAAACATATAGGTACATTAATTTGCATGTTCAATTTAATATAGGTATTAGTATTTAGATAAGATACAAGATAACTACTAGCTATACCCCGTAGCTTTACTCACGTTAATTGAGACAAAAATATCCTGTATGTGAAATCTAATATCATAGTGTTATCAATTTTCATTGGAATCTTTATAGTCGTATAACAAATATCCGAAAGTCTTTAGAAAGTTTCACATTTTTTAAATTTATTATTTAAATCACGATATTCCTCCATAATCATATAATAATTAATGTTACATACAAAATCATGGATATGGAAGAGATTTTGTTTATTTGTTGTCCCTTGGCGCCTAAACGGCTTAACTAATAGTCATAAAGGACTTAATGATATATACTATCATATCCATCAGGTGGGCCGTCAGCTTGTTTGCCATTCTAAATAGTATAAAAAAAAATGCTAATTGTTATCTCAAGGGATCGTTCCGGTCGCACAATCTTAGTCTGTGTCTTAGTTTGTGCGACCGGAACGATCCCTATACACTACACAGCTAATGAATGGCATATTCGATGACATAAAAACTTAAATACATACAACACGCAAAACAAATTCAATACAAGAAATATCACTAACATTAGTGGCGTCATTCAATAGATAACAATCTATAAATCAAGTTACAAATGCCATGTGTCGAATCTCACCTGTATAGATCTTGTACAGTGACTCCAACAATCCTTGCATCATTTTGTTGATTTGTTGTATACACACTGAACACTAAACTCACTGCGGTTTTATACAAAACAATGGTGCCCCATAACAAAACCAAATAATGTGATGTGTTCACAATAATGTTAACATTATTGTTGCTACAAACCCTTTAGATGTTGAAGCGAAACAAAGATTGCATGTAATGTGATCACTTTGAGTACAAGGAGCGACATGATGAAATAATCATGTGAATATTTATTTTCTTAGTTAAGTAACAAATTCTGTATGCAGTAATGTAATTAATTACATTCCATTTATTAATCATGATTATAAACTTCTGAGTACTATTATATGATCTATCAAAACAGCAAGGTGATCCCAATCTTAAACGTATTATTATAAGTTAAACATTCCAAAACTCATTGATGAATAACTGCAAAATTTGACTTTCCGTCCTATAATCCTGCAAATTTTGACACATCAGTTTCTATACTACAATATCCAAAAGTAGGGAAGGGGGCAAATCGAGAAGATTCCTAGAGCAAAATTGTCTTACCGTTAAAAAGGGCAGTAATCGTTATTTTAACTTGCGGCGACAAAAAAGTGAGATTAGGCCCTGCACATTATCCATTACTATAGACCATTCAATAAGCTAATTATCTACACGCATCTAATAAAGACGTCGCGATCGGATCCGACAAAGCGAATAAGATAACCGCAGTAGAAAAAAAAAATACTATATAAAGACACAACCTAGAAATGACTATAAGTTTTGAAGGTGAACGAACCACAAGACGGACAGTACGGTGGCCAAATTGAACTAACGGGAACAGCTGCCGGATCGTTATCATCAATCAGATTTGCGTAACTATCTGTTAGCAATTACATCTTACACATGAGTAGACAGAACAACTGCATATTCGGTATGTAGTACAGTTACAGAAGACAATAATAATCTCTAAATACAGACATACCTTTGGAGTAGATAGATAATTGTTACACAATAAACAAATTGAGAGAAAGTAGAAAACGTACATCTCAATTGTATTTTGATACATCTAAATGGTCAAATTCATGTATATTTTAATAACTACCACATATCTATTTGTAAAGCTACAAAATTATGAAATAACACTATAAAATGTGTTATTGTATTCTAAATACATTATGTCAATAAAGATAAAACACCGCTAAGACCTTGATTAGCATACAAATCTTCATAAGGCGATAAAAAATACTATAATACAGAAGGTCGTTGATGTAATTCCTTACGTGGCCGCCCACGGGAATAACAATGGGAAACTGACCAAGGCATATTCTGTTAGAGTTAGACGTATGAACGTTATGGCTCTTTATATCTTACTTTATAGTGTCGAAACGAAAACGTGGGCAGGAGTTGCATTGAGACTACTTGTCGTATGAAAGCTTTATTAAATTGATATCCAAATGTCGCAAACAAATGATGGTATCTCAATTTATTTTCCTAATCTAATTTGACGGTAAGGAAGACAAATACATTTCCAGCTATAAGTTGGCACCAATCTCTAAACATGTCAAAGTCTTTTAGAACTTTAACTAGCGTTTCCTAAATCCATTTGTCAAAAACAAAAAATAAATAAATACAAATTATTATGAATAGGATGGCGGTCATTGTAGAAAAAATTGCAAAATACTATTTACCGAGTCTCATTGCAAGCTTATTTCAAAGACCTCTTAAAATATTATTTATTAAAGGAACAAAAGAAAACCAGCTTTGTAGTAACTAACTGGCATATATAGTAATATCGTATGAGGTCGTAATGTCATAAGTGTTTGTTTTTAAGACATTAAGACATTACTTTTTAAGACATTACTACATATTAATGATAGACGTTTTAAACTCAAGGTTAATTCATTCTTAAAATCGAACAAAAGCTCATAAGTAGGTATAGTAATTACATAATATTTATATATCGACAAAAGGGATTAGTATGCATAATTCTTAATTGTTTTGCTATTAAAAAACTAAGTACTACACATATTTTATCTAAGACTTACTTTATATATCAGACTAGTAGTTGAAAATCCAGTTTGTAATTTTAAGGAGAAATACGATTACGGAATGAATGTTGTTTTTTTTTTTAAATAATATTCTATGTATAGGTTATATATTTATGTACACAATAGGTAGATTATATTGAAACTCGAATAAAGTTGTACCATTCACTATAATGCGGATGAGCCAAAAAAGGATTCAGAATGCTAATATTTTAATAAATGAATCCCACGCAGTGTGTGGGCAGGTAAAATATTCGATGCTGAGATTGAATACTTGAAATAAATAAAATTAAGCGAAGTATATCACATTTAAAACAGCATGTCATGGATGTTATATGACTATAATACAAGTAGTACTATACTAACAATAAAAATGTGAAGTCGTTTTGTATGCACCTAATTCTACTCGTATCATACAACTTACTAGAATAACTAGATTGATTTTCATTAAATTGAAACAAGTAGTAGCGACATATACGAACGACGACAACGACGAACGACCTATAAACAGGCTATATTTTGTCCGGGAAAAGGATCAGAAAAACAATTCTACGCGAATGCATTCATGCGTAAAACAACAAGCATTACGAAAACTAACAGCACTGAAAAGCGAACATTCTACATGAGAATAAAAATCAGTAATGATTAATGGGTAAAAATAACGAATTCAACGTTTCTTGAAAAATTCGTGGAAAAGAAACGTGTACATACATTAAAAATAGACACGCCAATAACAATGAACAAATAAATGAAGACACTAATGAGACGCCGTCGACGCGAATGTTCGTTAAAATTAGCCACACATGAAAAGCCCCTGTGAAACGAACGAAAGAAACGTTAAACACAAAAGCGGTAACTATTGATGTCGCGGACCCGTATGATCGCACTGCAACCACTATTTGTATATTCATTTATTTTTTAAAGTTGTCTACTTGTAACCGTCGAGATCTCGATACAATCGAGTCTATCAATGACTGCATTACTGACATAGCTTGCCGTCTCGATGTATTCGTGGGCACGCTATTCGTTTTCTGAGGAACTAGATACAGACAAATTTAGTCCATCAAATGCATTCACCTTGCAACTTGAAAGACTCTGAAACATTAACTTACTCACTACAGTATGATAATGTTGCATAAAAATTAAAAATTATAACAGTCATAAGACCTGCACAAATTGTAATTTATATGTTCTTAAATTGGCAGTAACATTGTCTGCTCTCATGTCTAATAAGACAGACGCCAGAACAATGTCGATGGCTCCTCATACCCAAGTGAACACAATGTATGACTTGACACGAATCAGAAGTTGTCGTGAACTTGTATTGAATAAACTTCATTAACACTCAATATGAGACATCACTAAACATTCTTAAAAAGAAATTAATTTGGAAAAGGAAATGCTGTAGAAAACTTTTAATGAACACTCGCGGCGTTATGAACTTGTTTGATCGCGTGTTTTGAACTTGGGAGCGCGTTTCCTAGGTTAAACTAGTAATGTTTGTTCGCGAGTCGCTCCAGGCCAGAGCGGGTGTACATCGCGGATCGCGCGCCCGCGCCGTGCGCGGTCTGCCGCACCGCCGCCGCCACTGGCCTACCGGGATTATTTATAAATTCATACAGACAGGGGGTCGTAGAATTTTGCACGACGCCGTTGGTATGCCGCAGCTAATGACTGCATCAGGTCGCGCCGGAAACTGAGTTTTACGGTGTCTCATTCTTGGCTGATACTCCAATACAATCACATTAGTCGCACATAATAAACACATTTTGGTACTTCACAGACAAACAATTACAGATGCAAATTTAAAGAATCTGGTCCTTGTTTATTTTGGAGCGCTTTTAAAGGTTTATTAAATATGCAATAATTTTCATTCCGACTAATATTACTAATCTCAAGATAAAGCACAGCTATCAATTTGAAATATGCGAGCATACCACGTGACGTTAGGGAAAGATGATCATGCACGAGGTGACCAGTTGCGCAAGCGCACCATTTGGAAATATTTTCCGCGACCCTGGCCATGTCGCCCACCTGAACAGGTGTTTTCTGTGTTCTCTAATCGCTGATGCCGAGTTATGACACTGGGTTCGACACGTGGGCGATATGTATTAATAACACACGCTCATTAGCCAATTGAAAATCTGTTGTATTACGAGTAATACAATCCAGTTGAGATATTAAGTTTGAAAATGTACGAAGATTTCACCGTAGCGCGTAGTGCATTTCAGCCATTCATTGTTGTCTGCTAAGACCTCCCAATTATCTTTTCCTAAGAGACGACTTTGAGCCTATACTCGTTTACTTACTGCAATAGGAGTTATTATTCCCTATTATTGAACGTCACTACAAATAAAGCGTTTCTTATGAGGAAGCTTTGTATTCAACAGTGGACTGTTAACGATTGATGTGGTTGATCCATTATATAAAAAAAAAGTTTCCAATTCTAATTTAAAAAATCAAGCAGATCTGAAATTTTTTTATCTAATTATTTGCAACACTGAAAAAAGCACGATTGTTTTATAAAAAAAAATTGTTTGATAAAAAGAACGTGTTAGCCAATGTAACGTTTCACTGGACAAAAGGTTACCAGTTTATTACACTCGATGCTTTAGCTAAATACTCGTAATCTGGGTGCTGTGTTAAATCCCCCATAAAAGGATACTATTTTAATGCTACCTGTAAGATAATTATAATTAAGGGAAGGATTAAAATTAACTACATGTATGATTCACGGACAATCGAGAATGTATATTAAATTTGGGAACCCTTGTGGTATGATCTTTCACGTGATATGTTGGTTGCATCTTATACCCTCCTATTCTTCAAGCGTAGCGTGAAAAATCATGTTTTTATGCAACTCAGAATGGCAAACAAGCTAACGGCCCACCTGATGGAAAGTGATAACCGTCGCTTATAGACATGAGCAGTACTATGAACATAACAGAGTATACTGTTTCACCCATGATACCCCCCATGCGTGACCATTCCTGAGAACTCAGGTGTTAGTCCTCTGTAGAAACACAAATGGGACGAAGGTGTCCAAAAGCAAACGATTTTCGTACAAAATCTCCCTCTGGTAAAAAAAAACATATAGTAGAGTAAAACATTTTATTTTTTCGGTTAATCACGTTCATGATTAACCGAAAAAATAAAATGTTTATATTGTCTCCGTATTCGCTCAGGATGGTGTCAGGTTGTTCCCGCACTCCAGTATGCGAGCAGAACTTCAATTATGCGCAAAGACATATAACTGAAAGTACGTATGGGCCATTTTAAGGGGCCAAGTTCACCCTGGAAAATAGTCTTAAATACGCCAATGAGAGCTGTGACTCCATGCATGTGACTCTATATGTTGATTGACTGATAATCAATGAATCACTCCACTAGACCACTAAATATTCGCCATTTGGCACAGTTTACAACTCACGCCCGGTTTCTTGACAAATGACAGCTAAAGTTAAAAATATTGAGTGTCTATACTATTTTCTCAACCGAACACCGATATGTGGGTAGTTGTTCAGTACAAATATTATGCTACGTATCAAAGTTCATCCACTCAATATTTGCACGTGTGTTAACTACATATACATAGTTATCTACCTATTATACTTCACATCTATCTGTTCTGCATTAACCAAAGATTGTCTATAAGAGGTTACCCCAGCGATAAGACCGCTGTTATGTGGAATATTCACATGAAATACTCATTTTATACTATTACTATTTAAATAATTCACCGTGTGATCCCGGCTTAGAATGGGCCACCTCTACCATCCAGTGGGTGTTGAGGAATGAACAGCAGCGTCCCTTTTAAACCATCACCAAAATTCAACTGGTTGACAACCAACCTGCCTGCCAAGTATGGCAACTACTGGTAAAATTCCCCTTATAGAGAAGGCCTGTGTTCAGCAGTGAGCAGTTAATGGCCGATATGATGATAATGGTAATAATAAAAATTAAATAAATCAGTTGCTGTTCACAGTCGAGTCGTTTCATTTAATCCACTACCTCCGCCTTTTATACCTTTTTTGTCCGTATTTTAATTTATACTTTATGCTACAGTCTTTCATTGGAATTTTCCAATTTGTCATTGTATATTTTTATGCTTTGGAGCAATAAAGAGTAAATAATTAATATTTTATATTAGCAGCTATGCTTGCGTGAATCTATATATACAGTAACCTTATATATAAAGTTAGGATAAAACCCACCAAATTAATGAAATACTAAACTTTTATTCAAATCTTTTCAGCCCTTTAAACGCGATTGAACAACAAACTCCCAAACATCTTTACAATTTTTCACATTTATTAGTTTTGAAAGAAAAAAGCCAAACCTTTAAACTGATCGGGCTAACGTTGACTGACCGATAAAAAATTAACTATTTTTGTTGTAACTTAGAATGGAAAACAAGCTGACGGCCTATCTGATGGAAAATGGTAACTGTCGCCTATAGATATGAACAGTGTACTAATGATTGTGGAATTAAACAAAATAATTCTAATCAAATAACCTTGGGGAAGGGATTGTTAGTAATGGGGTCTAATTGACCCATTGCTAGCAATACACCGTAATAATAATCAGGTCGACCTCCACGCGATTCCCCCTGGAAACCATCGTGATTAATTCTAGTGGAATTTGTCACGATGGGCTAACTTGTCTTTTCATCCTCACCTATTATTACTCACTGGTGCCCCACCAACATACCCCGATGCATAGGCGGGGTTACCATGCCATTATCACCCATTTAAAAAAAACCAAATAACTAGTTATATGGAGTTCCCCAAGATAACACCTAGTTCAGTAAAAATAATTAATTTTTAATATTCGCTGCACCACTACAGCAAACGGCATTCCGCGCACGACAGTTCGTGGGACACGCGTCATGAGTGACAGATGGACACATTGAAGTGCCCTTGTCGTTTATTTAGATCTATTTCTATGGAACCATATTTTACTTACGTCACGTAGTTTTTTTTTTAATTCAAAACCTAAGTTTTTAAACAGAATAAAATTTAGAAAATAGATAAAAATAAGTAGGTATGTGCAGCACAAAAAGTAACTAGTTTAGTCGTAACAAAATTAATATACATACAACCAACATAGGTGGGTTTAAAGTCTACCGTTTTTTATTTAACCAGATGGAACAAGCAAGTAGATGGGCTACCTGATAGAAAGTAGTAACTGTCGCCTATAGACATGAACAGTACGAAGGACGTTACACAGAACACGCACTGCAGCACACATGGCATTTATAAGTTGCAAATTAAAATTATTACAAAAATATTTATCAAAATCGACTCACAACGGGCAAAATTGAATTTTTCTATTTCTTGAAGTGTTTTAAAAACGGACAATATTCTAATTTCAAAATTATTTGAATCTAAAAATAGAATAGTATTATTAGTTTTCAGTATTAACGGTTTATAGGCCGTAACAGCTGTATGTGTGACGTGGTTTCATTGTGGATTTTATTGCCCATAAAGTATTGTCTGAAAATTTCGTTCGCCACTGTATACTGTGACGCAAGCTGTTTCGATATGATGTAACTGTTCAAGGCAAATTGCTTAACCTATTGTTTTTCACAATTTTTCATTTTTATGTCTAATTAGACCACACATACATAGATAGAATTCCGGTTTACATATCCGATACAAAATTTCAAACGTTGCAATAGGTACTATAAGAATTATTCTTATGGCAATATTCATTAAATTCATATACCAGTTTTCTGTTCGATATTAAAATCGAATAAATCTTTTTTTCATTGATTGCCAAACATTGACACCCTTCGGTTTTTTTTTTTTGATTCAATAAGATTTAATCTACTGTGTCTTAGTACTTATAGTTACACTTCAGTTTTGAGACTAAATTGCGTTGACCAGATTTATATATTTATTTATCTAAGCATTGTAAAACTGCAGGCAAGTGTTTATCACTTGCCTGCAATTTTACTGTTACCTCTATGGCAAACCTAACATCTAGAAGGAAAAGGGATTGTTAGTAATGCGGACTACAAGTCTCATTGCTAACAATATTCCCTGTCAGATCGACTTCCCCATGGTACCCCTTGAAAACCATCGTGCTGAATTCCAAGTGTACTCATTATAATGGGCTAACCATAAGATTTGCCTTTTTATTCTCACTGGTACCCCATTAGCGCAAGCGAGGCTACAAATCGATTATCATCCATTAAAAAAAAAATTACACAAAAATTAAATTCAACTGCGGGTTAACAAACAATAATACGTAAGTACATCTATTGACTGACAAAGTGCTACCTCTACATAATATTACGCTTCGTAAAACCCGAGTTTCGTTTAAATATAAAAGCAGTAAACGGAACAAACAAGATCGAACGAATAATCAGTCTGTGATAGTATAGTTTGTTTGATATTTACACTAACATAGTTTGTGTAATGCTGGGTCAACACATAAGTATTTTTCCAAATAACTTTACCGTAACGAAGTATTTTCTGGAATGTTTGGCTGATTTAAGTGCTTTATAATATGTACTGGTTGACGGAGAAATAGTCTTTAGACCAATATGCATTTATCAGATGAGT